CTTGACCTCAATTTCCTCTCTTTTCCCCCTCCATAACCTTCCCATATCAGGAGGGGGGGCGGTATTGAAAGAGTTATCTACAGAGCATGCCTTTAGTTTCTGTTCTGCCACAGCCCCGCCCACCTCTGACCCTCCCCACTCCTGCTTTCGTCTTCCTTATTTCTACCAAAATTATTTCTATCTAGGAGACAGATGACTTCTGCAGCGCCAAGTCCAGGGGTCAATTCTCAGCCCTTCTCGGACTTGATGTTGGCAGCACTTGGCACTGAGGAGCCTTCCCTCGAGTGCTAGAAGAAGCACTTCTGCATTTGGCTCTGGGCATTGCGCTCTCCTGCTTCTCCTCTGACTTCTTGTCAACCTCCGTGGCTAGCGTTTCCATCCCCCTTTGAGCTCTAAACGTTACTGGGCAGTATGGCACATGTTCCCATCTGCTCTCCAGTATACTGTAGCTTATCTCAGCCATACTCGAGGCTTCTCATTACTATCTGTAAATGGTTGACTTCCAAACATTTTTCTGGCCAGGACCAATCCCTGAGATCTAATCTCATACATTTACTTCCTGATCAGTGCCTTCACCTGGGTCTTTCATACCTGGTCATTTGCAGATGCTAAGCGAGTTCTCCCTCTTTCCCCTCCTGCTTTGTTTTCCCATATGGCCCTACCTATCTCGGTGACAGGCAGTTGTGCTCAGTACAAACCCTTGATTCCTCTCTTTGCCTTATAATACCTTTCTAAAATGTTGGAGAATTAGGTCAGCTGACTCGAAGAGCACCTTCAAAAATCAATTCCCGAGCCTGCTGTACTTACCACCACCCCTATCGCTGGCGCCACTTCCCTTGATGCCCTTCCTTCTCTCCCACCTAGACCGTGGCTGCAGTCTTCTAATGAGCTGCTGTAGCTTGCATGTTGGACTGCTAATCATAAGGCCAACAGTTTGAAACCACCAGCATGTCCACAGGAGGAAGATGAGGCTTTTTACTCCAATAAGATTTCCAGTCTTGGAAACCTACACGGAGTGCTTCTACCCTATCCCTTCTGGTCATGAGTCAGAGTCCATTTGACGACAGGGAATTTGGTTTGGGGTTTGGGGCCCTCTGCTTTCTGGCAGTTCACTTTTCACAGAGGAGACTTTCTGTTAATATAAAGCAAATAGATCATGGTTCTCCTCTGCTCGGGGCCCTCTTGACAGCTTTTCGTATCAGAAGCTACCGTCCTTTTAATGGCGTGCAACATTCAGCGGCAGTACTTCTGAATCTACGTGTAAGCATGTGTTTCCTTTTTAAGGCAGTTTCTTTTTGTCTGGTACAATAAAAAATGAGTTGCTAGAATGAGAGATTTAACTTCTAGCCATGAGGATCACTGGTGTCAGATTAGCCTTCCCGCCGTAAGCTGTGCAAAAGCTGATGACAATGTACGGAAGAACTATTTTCAGAAATGAGGCAGTAAGTAGTGCAGGACTGATCCCTGTGAGAGGGGGAAGGAGTGAGGTGAGCCCCAGGATCCGAGGCTTTTTGCTGGAGGCATATGGTGAACTCCAAGACAGGAGTCGAGCAGATGAGACAGTCCTGCTGAGATGAGATGGAAATTGGAATTGATCAAGGCTGGAATGTGCAAGACAGAGTACCACAGAGGAAGAGCTCGAGCCTTTGACTGATAACTTTCCTGTTCTTGCACCAAATAAGATTTGAGAAAGCCAGGCACTTAAAGCAACAGCCTCACCAGGCACAATTACCGAAGAGCTAAAAATGGGACAGCTACCTGAGCTCACACAGTGGTGGAAGATGTTCAAATTCTGACCAACCAATGTAGAGGTCTCTGAACACTTGGGGTATTCCGCATAGACCCCAGAAATGCCAGAACACTGGGGTGAAGAGGCTCTGAATAATGGTCACTCCAGGTCTGTGTGAATGAAGCTTCCACACAAGCCTCAGAGAGAGTAAACGGACTTACAAATCAATGCGCTGTCAGACTATTTCGAGGAATACAACAAAATCCAGACACTCAACAACAAAATATCCTTAACACCCCTCGTCCAATAAAAACTAGAAGCTAAAGGAAAGCATAAAGTGTGACCTGTCCCTGAAGCTGCAGCTCAGGGAGACGACACATCTGATCAGAGCACAGGGGAGCAAATGAATGGGGAGGAAGAGAGTGGAGCACATCCTGGCCCACCAGGCTTGGAGGACAATTTCCCTGCTCCGAACAGCCAATGCACAGAGTGGACCATATGGCTGATCCCACTACGAGACACGACGTCCCTTGCTGACCCATGGCCCTACGGGGGACAACACTGGAGACTCATTGTCAGGATTGGTCCAGACTGACCCTGTGACACCAAGGCAAAACACTTAAGGTGTGGGGCAGAGCAAAGGGGGGAGCAGAGCAGGGAGCTCCCGAGGGAGTGCAAAGGATAGACTCTGGGCCCCCATCGGACTTGACTGGAGGACACGCCTAGAGGTCAATAATCAGACCTTGATCTATTTACAGGTTTTTCTTTCTTTTTAAAATTTTTTTATTTTTTTCTTTTTAAAAAAAATTAATTTATTCTTTTATGGGTCATTGGTTTTCTCTTTTGTTGTCTTTGTTGTGTTCTCTTTTATCACTTTGTCTGGCTATGCCTTGTATTTTTGTGCAGATTATTATCTCTGCAAATCTATCTAGATAAGATAGGCTGGATGAACAGTCTGGAGGAGAAAACAATGGGACCGATGGTTCCAGGGGGACATGGGAGTGGGGGATGGAGGGTAAGGAGGTGGTGCTGACCAACCCAGGGACAAGGGAGCAACAAGTGATCCAAAATTGGTGGCAAGGAGGGTATGAGAGGCCTGGTAAGGGCAGTATAACCAAGAGAAATTACTGAAACCCAAATGAAGACTGAACATGATAGTGGGACAAGAGGAAAGTCAAAGGAACTAGAGGAAAGAACTAGGAGACAAAGGGTATTTATAGAGGTCTAAATACGTCAAGTAACACAGAAGCCTACTTATAAGGGTTCCCACAGGATAAGGATAGTGTGAGTTGACCCTCAAAAGATGGGGGGTGGGGAGAGGTTTACAACGGATTGAAGCAGATATATACAGGTCTGTGAGTCATAATGCTCCGACTAAGGTACCAATTCGTTGTTCTGATTTTTGTTAAATGATAGGAAATAATCAAATATTTATTTTACATCTCCTCAATGTATAATGTATTCATGGAAAATAAATATATCCATGGAAAATTATACAATTGAAGGCCTGTATTTCAAAACCTTTCATGGAATTAAGATTTTAGGCAAGCATCCAGTAAATACTAAAATGCCGAAATGGACTAATACTACAGGCAGGCATCCTTATAGCCATGAAAGGATTTAACTGGTAGCATGAAAAAAACATCAAAACTCATAAACGTGAATAAAAGCTATAGAAAGCATAGCACGTGAAGGCCACACGGGTCCCACGAGACAGCATTTCCACCATAGAGCCCAGTATCGGGCAAGAGTGCTGAGCAAGGCTCTTGTGGCCCCTCCTTACCGGTGGCCGTCTCAAGGGTTTTAAAGCCATTCTGAACCATCCCCGAAAGGGGGCCGGCTTTGTTCAGAGGATTTGTGAGCTGTCCTCCCTGTGGCCTAACACCATTCATCCTGGTTCCATTTTACGTTGTGCCGGTCTTTTGTTTTATTTTCCTTATGATTTATGTATTGCCTTTTCTATTTTTTTGATGTTTGCCCATGTTAATCCATGTTCATTTCTCCCTCTGTATGTGTTTGTGTCCCGCTTGTTGTCTTTGCCCCCATTGTTCCCAGGTTACTCTGTAGCCAGGAAATCCCCAGTCACTTGGCCGACGAGCATGCGCTGATAGCCTCCTATGTGGCCCGCCTGCAGCACTGTGCACGGTTAGTGGCAGACAGCAGCAGTAGGCGGGGAGCTGAGGAAGGGTTGGGAGAGCTTTGTTACCTGGGCTGGCCAGATGGAAGAACACTACATTTGGGGGTTTTCTTGAGACACTACCAGCTGCATTGGGCTGAGTTTAAATACTTGCCAAAGCATTAGATTCTAAAAGGGAAGAAACTTTGCCATGCCTGGGCACTGACGTAAATACAGACAGAATTTCTTCTTTAAAGTCAGGTCATTTCCTCCGGTTGATAGACAATTACAGAGTATATAAACCCAAGAGCTGAAATTCCAAAGGTGTACCACCACTGTTTGATGTAGCCTCTTATTGTTCATTCTTGCCTGGACAATGAAGTCTTTCTGTTGATCGTCAAAGAGTAGTGTTGATCAGGGAGCCCTGCTGGCAAAGTAGTTAGTCCATGGGCTGCTAACCACGAGGCCGAAACCACCAGCCGCCTCAAGGGGGAAAGACGGGGCTTTCTACTCTCTTAAACAGTTACTGTCTCAGAAATTCACAGGGCAGCTCTCCTCTGTCCTATAGGGTCTTGGTGGCAGTGAGTTTGGGCTTGATTTCTTTGTTTTTGAGTGTTGATCGACCCACAAATATCTCACTGTGCCTAATCTGAAGGCTTTGCTACCACACTGTTACATCTCAACCGCCCTCCATCTGTTACATAGGAACCTGTCATTGCCAATGATTTGAACCAGGGATTCTCATCAATGATGGTGCATTAGTATCACCTGAGAAGCTTTTTAAAAGTATTATATGAGGGGGCTTTAAAAAGTCTGTGGAAAATGGAATTAAAAGATCATTAAAAATTTCCTTGGAGTTTTGAAGCAACCTCGTGTACCCCGTCATATTAAAATAATTATCTGTATTCTAGAAGCCCACACCCGTTTTCCCTGAAGCACTGACACACAGCTAATATGGGAAGGAGATTGATCACTCCTTCAGGGGGTTCAGATGGGGGGGAAATGGTTGGTAATAGCTAACTATATCAAAGTTAACCCTTTGGAAGAATTAATACCAAGCAGTGCTATTCCATTCAAGCCAACTCAAAGCCATTTTTCCACCCATACCCTCACCCACCACATTCTTAAAAAATGACAGGTGTTAGTAATCCAAAGTCAACCATCCGCTCTATCGAGCAGCAAAGAAGAGTCATGATGTCAAACAACTTACAAAACTGCTTTGAGAACCCTAGATCTTCAAGAAAAAAACCATAATCTATAAACACTTAGCAGAAGCTGGGTTTTACATCGTTACCTCAGTTTTGCCTGTAGCATGCCTGGCCCCTTGGGGAGGACATTTGACCTCATTCCTAGTCCCTGTGGTAACAGAAGAATAAGTTAATAAAGAATGCAACGACTTTGTGAAAGGGTTGGTTTTTAATATTGTACTTTATATTGTTTCTCAGTATACACAAGAACATCATTTTTTTTTCACATTTACTTATCTCTAAAGCCTTAGAGAAACTGTAGGGGGGGGAAAGAGAGAGAGAAACTATAGGATTTGTCTACCTCTCACATTTCTTTAATAGGCTAATCCTACTGGAGGGAAGGAAGGGTCAACTCATTATGCTCAGAGAGTAAAGTATCTCCTTCTCCAATAGACCACTCAGGCCCAGCCTCTGGTCTCTAGGAATAGAATTGTTTCTCCCCAACACAACACATGATTTGCAAATCGGTAAGGGCAGTTATCCAGGGTGATGAAAATTCTTCCCTGATAAAAATAGCACGATGTTGGCCAGAGACCTGCAACCTGATATTTGCAGCCCAGGAAGGTTTGTGGTAGGTTCAGCCAAAGTCTTCCAATCTCAGGGGACCTGGGAAATATTAAGGGAGTAGACTCCTGGAGCAAGAGCCTGTGGCTGGTAGCCCTGGAAGAACCTAGCCTTGAGTGAGTACTGCCTGTCTTCTGTATTCCTGGAGTCTGCGGAACTGAGCTCGATACTTCCTCTAAGAATCAGAACTTGCTGGCTAAGTGATTCTGAAACCGAAAGTGCCAAAAGGAGAAGGCACTTTGCTAGACTCCCTGAGATCATTTTCATAAACCTTAAAAACCACTCATCAACAGAAGCTTCTAGCTTCTGTTTAGGAAGCTTAGCCAGTTAAAATAGGGGGGGTCGATTAACACCCCCAGGGAGATGGCATGTGATAGGAAAGAGGAATTCTTGTACCCCTGGACTAATAGCTATGGTCACTACATTAAGTCAACTTCTTAAGCTATCCATAACATTGCTTACTTGTAATGTTCAATACCGGGCTTTCGTTTCCATGGAGAGCTATGTCTTATTGTTGTTTTCCAAAAATAAGAATAAAAAAAAAAAAAAAGAATGATTTTCATATGTCAAATAAATGCCCTTAAGTCACAAAATATTATATAGTTCAGTCTTGACCTTAGGGACTCGGCCCTAAAGTATTAAAGTCAGTTGGTGGTCTCACACCCTGACTCACTGCCATCCAGTCAGTGCTGATTCATAGCGAGCCCCTGTGGGTGTCTGAGACTGCAACTCTTTTTCGAGAGTAGAAAGCCCAGTGTTTCTCCTGCGAAGCTGCTGGTGGTTTCCAACTTGGACCATGTGAATCTCAGCCCAGCATGTAGCCATGACACCACCAGGGTCACAAATATTATCTAGGTCAGTCTTGATCTTGGGACTCGACCCTAAGGTATGAAAGTCATTTGGTGGCACCATGTTTTCATTACTAAGATTCTAAGAGAACCGTTATACACACCGGAGACTGACATTTGCATACCTAAAATTAAAAAGTGTTGACAAATGTCACAGACAGAAGACTTAAAGTACATTTAAAAGGAAAAA